CATCCTCTACCTCTACTCCCTAATCCCTATGCCACTTGTTGTTTTCTAAAGGCAAGGTTGATGAAAGTTCCTTTGGATTAATGCTAGACTTGGCTTTAATCTTTGGTAACCACATGCATATATAATAATGCATCTGGGTTTTGAATTGGGTCAACAAACCCCTGGTGGCTGAGCTCACAGGAAAGTAGATGTTTTCATCAGTCACCACAAATAGTGACATTTTGTAGTTTTCCTCAAGGCAGTGTGAACTGTTAGGCTAATGAGGCAGTTTGCCTTAGGCCTAAAAAATGTTTACCTATACTCTATATGAGTAGTCATTATTTTCTGATTAAGTATTAATATTAATTATATATTTTTATTTGAAAGTGAGAGTTTTGCTTAAAAACAAAAAACACTAGTTATGATCTCAAGTATTGTCCATACCATGTGTGTTCATTCTTCTTTTACTTTTTATTATAAATTGTGATTATTTTAATTTTTTTTATAGGATTTGAGGTGGCATAAATGTTAAATAGAACATTTGAATCTGATTTTAATAAATTGGAAAAATAATATAAAAATAAATCAATGATAATATATTAGACCTCTTAAATAATTTTATTTAAAGCCCTAAAATTAACTCTTTCAGACCGACCTGGATTTCCTCTCTCCATATTTGTAGTTTTCCACATAAACATATCGACCTTGAAAATTTGCCGGCTCTTTCTGTGTGTGCGCGCGCGCGCGGAGCTTATATGCCTCAAATAATAATAGAGATAGTCTCTGTTACTATTATCAGCAAAGCCCCTGTTTCATATAAGAGGATTACCTGGTCTAAGCAGTGGTATGGTGGGTCCTGTTCCTTCTGACTGGAAGTCCTGGTCCAAGCATAGAAATTACTTTGCCAAGGAAAACCAAGAATGCATTGTATGAGTATAACAAGATTGATAAGAATGACTTTTTGTATATGCATATAATATTGTGTTATTGATACACATGCTACTTTATCATTTGGTTATAATTTTGTTTACTAACCAGTAATTGGGGTTATCTTTGAGTTACTGGGATGTATGTTTCACTTCGTTACTTGTGAACACAGGTGAAGAGAGTGCGAGAAGGCCGGGAAAGGAAGCAAGGAAAGAGTAACTTTACTTGGTAGCGGTATGACTACCATTTGAATGAAATAAATGTATAAAGTTATTTTTAGAGTTAAGTTGCCAATTAAGATACATGTGTGTGTGTGTGTGTGAATATGGGAAAAGTAAATTGTGTTATGAATCTTGCTTATATATATATATATGGTGTTGCATTATGTTGAGGGTGCCCTAGTGGAGGGACATGGGTAGGGGTAAATGCGAAACAAGCAAGTATATGTTGTGTTGTAACTTGTTTCACTTATGTATATATGTGATGATTATGTATTGATTGTGAATTGTGTTGTTATGTGAGAATTTAACACAAATGGTGAGAACTTGACATAAATGGTGAAGTGGAGCCCCACTTGAAAGAGTCAAGTACATTTGTGATTCCCGACCATATGGTGAGGCTCCGCCTCATATGTAAGAATCGAAAGGTAAAGTGGAACAAGTCTAGTTATATATGTGAATATGTATTGTATATATGTATTCTTCATATAAGTTCACAATAGTGTAATGTGGCTTTAAGAGGCCAAAATGGGCAAATGATGTGATATTTGTGATTTGTAGTGTCAATCAGGTGTATGTAATCCTTTTAGACTTAGTTCAAGGCCTGAAGTGGTCTAATGGGATAAGGAATGAGAATTGAGCATTTAGGGTGTGAGTTTTTAAAAGAAAAGGTGACTTTTTACATCCGAGTGTCTAATTTTAGATTCGACCATCAGATCGAGTCCAGACTTATTTCATTAGTTAATATATGTTGTAAGCTACATGTGGGCGCTTGAATCACTTCAATCGAATGACGAATGTGAAAATGGCGCATGCCAAAAATTCATCATTTTTGCTGTTAAATGACAGCAAAAAATTCGGACTGGCGTGCCACGGCAGATGACACAGAGAAGTCAGGCATGTGGCTCTGTGTCACATGCCATGGCGCACAACCTTTTTTCAGGGTTGAGAGTTTATATCTTATTGAGTTATTTTAGTTGTGTTTGTGCTTTCGCTAGCCTTATTATTTGAATATACATTTTAAGAAGTTGAGATCTCGGGATTTGAAAACAAATGAAGAGCTATTACTCTGATATTATTGTGCTTTGTGTTGGTTGATTATGTGATGAGAATAGTAAAGCCTTGATTGAGTCGGGACTTTACAGCCGTGACCCTTATTGGTCCCCTAATCTCGATCCCTGTTCATATGGCTCTTGCTCAAAGGCAAATTACTTACCAACGCTGAACGTAATTGCAGGAAGATGACCCTGGATCAAGGGTGTTCAATTTGTAATGCCCCCATATAAAATTTTTAAGGAACGCCACTTAATTAGCTGCTGATGTTTGGCGAAAGATTTTGATACTAGATATGCATACTGAATTTTATCGGAAGAATATAAGGTCTTAGCTACTATATAGGTGCTGCAGAATTCCCTCATTGATATCTCCTGGAAAATTGGTGTGAGCGTACTCTGTCGGAAACTCTGGGAAGCTCGAAACCACTATCTTCGCTGAAAAAAACTTCAACAGCTGATGGCATTTTATGCCACACTAGAGCTCTCCTGGACCATACCGTTAAAACTTTCTCTACCTTCAAATTACTGATGTAATTTGTTTTGTCTTGTTGTAAAGCTTATTTCTTTCCTTAGGCCTGTTATGTTTGCCTGGTTGTGTATTGAACTTTTTGATTAATGATATTCGCTTTTCACTCAAAAGGAATAGAAATATAATCAGTTGTATTGTAATGCATGTCCATTAGCATCTTCTATAATGCATATCCATTAGCATCTTCTATAATGCATATCCATTAGCAGGAGCCTTGATGAGTTAATTTGCCCAGTTGAATATAACCCTTTGAATCTTTTTTCTAAACTCTGTTAACTTTTCATTAATCTAGCAATCGAGTTGACACATCGATGATTGCTTCATATTATATATTACCTTTTCTTTTACCACATATTATATATTAATTATTAAATTTAATTTATTTAATATGAGACTTTCTATATATATATATTTATTTAAGTCTACTCACACTTGGACCGCTAGCCTATTAATCTTAAAATAGTTTCATGTGAAGATGAATAAGGAGCTCTAAGGATTTAGAACTTTTCAGTCTTTATTTTATTTGCAGGTTTCAAGATGGAGATATTAAATCCATATTTTGACACAAGGTTTACAGGGACAAATGTTTAAAAAACCATACATGACCGATTGATTCAATCAGTCCTCCGGATCTCAGTCCGGTCAGGATTAAGGCAAAAACTGGATTAAAGTAAAACCGGTCAATAATTGAATAAAGCAGCTAAACTTGGCCGGCTTTTTCAAAAACCGGATTTAAAAAATAACTCTAGGCAAAATTTTTGTTTGTGTGTTTGCTTTCGTTTTTTTGGCAAAATGACATCTCAGGCCCCCACGTGGGCCACGAGCACAAGTTTGCAAAATTCACGATGGGGGACTCATATATATTAGTTTCCTGTTTTAATTTATTATTTTTCTTTGATTTTTGTTGATCTTTTTGACTTATGTCTTGAAGCTATTTTTTTTTTTAATGTAGCCATATGTTTTGTGTTTGTACTTCATATTATTTATCTTCATTTTTCTAAAAAAACTTAATTTTTTAATTTAAATTAAATATGTCTTCAAAAACACTTATTGCTTTATAATTTTCTTTTTTTGATCCTGTGCCTTATAATTTTCTTTATATAACAAGTATGTTTTTGATGAACATTAAATAAAGTAGGAATAATTATAAAGATTTATAATTATAATGAACTTTTTACTAGATTAAAGTTTTATTCATACTTGTTTTATTTTTATCAAATTTTATCTTTCTTAATTTTTGAATGAAAATCATCATTCATGAATATTATATTAACCATAAATGGTTATCAACAATTCATCACTAATGCAATATTGTTAATATTTTCTTAAAATATATTTAACATGTTTCTTACATTATTATAATTTATATAAGTTAAAAATATATCAATTTAATAGCAGTCAGTACAACTATGGTCTAACTAATGATTCGTAAACTAGTCACTCATTCGATTCAATCACTGATTTAATTTTTAAAACCTTAATAATGATAGAATAATACAAGTTCAGCTTGGAAATTTGTAGAGATTGCCATGTCCTGCACTTCGCTCATGCCCAGAAAGATATGAGAGTAGGAGAAGAAGGCCCAGCAATTCATTGGATATGGGCTCTCTGAATTCGCTTAGGCTTGAATCAACCACTAGCGCATATGTTAGATGAGCTTACAGGAGAACGACAAAAAGGTCTCAAATAATTAATTCAATTTAAGTTTCAAATATCAAACTCTAAAAATTTATATATCTATTTCTCAATTTTGTAATTACATTGTGATGAATTAACAACTTGTTTTTTAAATTTTAACATAGTTGAAGAATACAAATTTTTTTTTTTGATTAATTGGAATACAAGTCATAAATTCATCACAACGGAGTTGCAAAATTAAGAGATTGAGTTATAAATTTTTGAAATTTGATATTTGAGACCTAACTTAAATTAATTGATTCTTTTAAGACTTCTCTGTCATTCTTCCTAAACTTATTTACAATTTGGAATTAACGAGTCTCAAGTCTGTATAGCTGTTCTTGTTTTAAAATGTTGATTTGAGTCGAATGTTTGTTTATTATTTAATTTTCAGTTTTTATTGTGACACGTTTGGGTTCAAAACCTATATTATTGTTTTTTTTTTTCTGGTGACAAGATTCAAAATCTATATTATATGTCAACATATAATACGGCAATTATTGTTCGACATATGACACCCCCAAATGCAGAAAACAGTATACTCAAAACAATTCGTGAAAGTAGTGGGCAGATTCATCACTTTGGAGACAGAAAATTCAAAAGGTGAAAAAGTATTTATCTAGGAGACAGAGTACTGAGGTCTGAATTAAATTGCAATGTGCTCATATCCATGGAACTGCTTGAATTGGGATTGCCGCTGGTGCCTTCCATGCTTATCTCCATTGCCATACATTCCCTAAGTTCAACAACCACTTGACTTATGTCAGGTCTTTTATTTGCAAATGGCGCAGTGCATGACACAGCTATCTTGAGAAATTTCCAAGCACAGTCAACACTGTATTGTCCTTCTAATCTTGGGTCAATGGTGGATTGGATATCCTTGCTTTCAAGTTTAGGATTGACCCATTGAACTAGGAGACTCAATGTATTATCTGGTAGTCTTTTTGCTGCTGGTTTTCCAGTAATTAGTTCCAGTAAAATTATTCCAAAACTATAAATATCACTCCCTTTTGTGAGGTTACCAGAATTTTGAAATCTGCAGCGAGAAGGTAAATAATCAAGTTAACTGGATAATAAAATATATCTGTCCATCAATAATTTTCTATTCAATCATGGATTCAAATCAATATAGAAGATTCCAAAGGAATTAGTTCACACAAATAATTTTCTTCCTGAATGAAGTTTCATTTGTTTATCAAATAAATTTATATTATTCTTCCCAAATTTATATTATTCTGCTTACCATACGCTGCGTCCAACGCAACTTGAAGCCTGTCCTTCCATTTTAAAGCACCCCCGTTGTGTCCTATTCAAGGAAAACTATATTTGCTCAGTGAATTAATGGATTCCTACCGTGTTGTGTGTGTAAAGCATATACTTTGCCGGTCCTTATTTATATTTTTAAAATGATTTACAGAAATCAAGAAAAATTTTAAAATTTGTTAACTCTCTAAAAACTTGTTAATAAATTTTTAACTTTATCTCTATTAAGTATACATATTTTAATAATATACTTGTGATAATAAATTTAATGAAATGACTTATAAATAGCATAAAAACCCTTCCCTCTCCTCTCTCTATCTTATATATAGAAATAGAGGAAGTATGCTTATTGTTGTTGATATCAAAATCGCTCAACAATCAACAATGATTCCATAAATGTTTGGTTAGAATAATTAGTTATTTCCAACAAACTACATGTTTTTCCTTATCATTAAAAGTTCGAGATCAGATACATTGTTCAATAATAGTGCATAGGGGAACTCATTAACTCATTATAGGTTTTTTTTAAAAAAAAAATTCACGGAGGACTTATCATTGATTTTAAAGAAAATATAACTTTAGGTCTCTACAATTTACCCGCGTTTTGCTATTAGTCACTGCACTTTTTTTTGGTACTTTAGGTTCATGCACTTTTATTTTTCATTGTTTTAGGTCCCTTCAAGGTCCCTACACTTTGTTCATTGAAGAACTTAAAATAATAAAAAATAAAAGTATAGGGACCTAAAATACATCAAAAAAATTATAGAGACCAATAACAAAATATGAGTAAATTATAGGGACTCAGAATTATGTTTTTTATTGATTTTATTGCACATAAAAGTTATAATTTTTCCTCCAAAGATACATATCACTAGGCCTGTTGGGCCTATGACTATATTTAAAGCCAATCCAACCTAGTCCGCTCCACCACAGCTGTGCTAAGACAAAACAAAACGTGGAAATCCTATTGGGCTAGTAATAGCTTTTGTGTCATTTTGTTTGGGCTAGTAAAAGCTGTTTTATTGTTTTCCAAAACAATTTGACCGGTTGTTAAATCAATAATCAATTTAAATTAACATGTCAATATTAATCAATATCATTATTAATAGTTTTCGGTCTACTTTTTTTTTTTCCCTGGTTAAAGCCAACTTTGTTTTAAAAATATGTCTAATTTAGTTCTTTAATTTGAAGCAAGATTTTGTACCTGATAAATGTCAACGGAGATCGCCATTAGCCATGTATTCATAAATTAAGGCCCTTGCACCGCTTTCTTCACGGTATCCCGATTAGAGAAACTAAGTGCCTATGATGAACGATCATCAAAAGTTCTACCTATAATTAAAATTTAACATCAACATCTATATATATGAGAAATGAACTAATACAATATTATAGAGCAGAGATTATGTTTCTAATTAATTAAATGAGTCATAAAACAAGACATCCATCAGCAATAAACAAAAATAATGATTGAACTGTTGGAAATTTTGACCTAACCTCTGATCGAAATTCTCTATGACCTTGCACTGATGATTGAGAAAGGAATTTCACAGCAACTTGGCTATCATTCTTCAGAGTTCCTAAATAAACCGTTCCAAATCCTCCTTCTCCAATCAAGTTTTGCAAGTTTTTAGTGATCTCCAGAACGCTGTAGTGAGAAAATGCTCGATTTCTTAGTTTTGATGATTCGGTTGAATCCCCCACAAATAAAAATAAGTATAATCATTGATCTAAAAAAAATTAGGTATAATCAGTACTGCCCATCATTTACGCATAATGGATTGGACAAATTGATAAAGGCTGCAAAAGATACGTATGGACTTTCGCCTTTAGAAATCGTACGTCTCTACCATTTCAAAGGGAATTAATGGATTCCATTGCGTAAGAGCTAGTGACATCTTTATAATTTTGAATTACTAAGATGTATATATATAATATGAATCAGAAAGTTCACGAGGGATGTCTCGTGCAAACCTTTTAGTTTTTTCATTTTGAAGATCCATATTCCTAGAGAAACCAAGATTACAACAGTCAAAACTGAAACAGATGCTATAAGTGGAATGACAAACTTATGTTTTTGACATGGATCCTTCAAGCAAATACCAGGAGAAGAGAAAGTAGGGGATTTTTGTAATAATGGCTTGCAGCCTTTAGGATAGTTTATTACTATTTATAGTGTATGTACAAAACCTTAGGTTCATTATTCCTGCCATATGGCACACAAAGAATATGAAGAATATGTATGGTGATGTTACAATGAAAGAGACCCTAGGTAAAATCTATTTTGGACCATTTTTAATGTACAGCACACTATTGGGCCTTGATGAAACAACCTAAGCTTGACAAGTATTGGGTTTGAAATGCTGATTGATTTTTGTTTCATCATGCCCCCGCAAATGAGGGAATGGTGACTTTTGAAGACCAAGTTTGATCAGGAAAACCCAATGCTTTGAGTGAGATAGAGCTTTTGTAAAAAAGATCTACAATTTGCTAAGAGGAAGGTACATAATGCACAAAGAGTTGTCTTTCAAGTACTCTATCTTGAACAAAGTGGACATCTAACTCGATGTGCTTCAATTTGGCATGGTAGATTGGATTCGAAGCAAGAGCAGCAACATTGAGATTATCGCACCACGCGATCAGAGGTTGACGAAGATATAGTTTGAGTTCTTGGGTGAAGGACTGAATCCATGAAAGTTCTAAAGCTATATCTACTAAGGCTCTGTACTCGAATTTAGCACTTGATCGAGCTACCACACACTGTTTCTTGGCTGACCAGGAAATTAGAGAGCTGCTGAAGAAGAATAGTATCCTCCTATCGATCAACGATCATTTGGACACACGGCCTAGTCACTAAGAGTCACTTGAAAACGATGGGCTAATCATAAACTTAAGGATGGAGATATTAAATCCATATTTTGACACAAGGTTTACAAGGACAAATGTTTTAAAAAACCAGTCAGCATTTGAAAACCCTTGTAAGGTTAGATGATTTCTTGGTTTAATACACAAGCTTAGATTTGTAGTTCCCTTAAGATATCTTAATACTCGTTGCAGTCCTTGCCAATGGGTATCTCATGGTGCACTTAAATACTGACTCAGCTTGTTCACAAAGAACACTATATTTGGTCGAGTATGCACAAAATATTGTAGTGAACTTATGATTTGTCTGTAAAGAGTTGGATCTTTAAGACGAGTACTTCCTTCTTTAGAAAAATGACGATTTACAACCATAAGAGTTGGAACTAAGGACGCATTTGACATGCCATACTTCTTTAAAATATTCAGGATATATCATTCTTGTTTTAGATATAGTCCTGTTTCATCCCTGTAAGCCTCAATACCCAAAAAATGGTGAAGTTGGCCTAGTTCTTTTAGGGCAAAATAGGCATTCAGTTGCTTTATGAACATATTTAAGATTTTAGGTAAATTTCCAATGATAATGATGTTATCTACATAAATCAAGACAAACAAAACCACTTTATCATGCCTTAGAAAGAACAGAGATGAGTCAAACTTTGAGTGAAGAAAGCCCTAATTGATTAGAATCTTCTTAAGCTTATCAAACCAAGCTCATGGTGCTTGTTTTGAACCATAAAGTGCCCTTTTAAGTAGACACACATGATGTGGAAATTTAGGATTAACAAATCCTTTAGGTCATCGCATTTAAACTTGCTCTTGCAAATCTCCATTGAGAAATGCATTATTGATGTCCAATTGTCGAATTTGCCACTTGAAAGTTACTGCAACAGTGAGAATAAACCTGAGAGATGCTTTTAGAATAGGACTAAATGTCTCATTAAAATTAACACCAGAACTCTGTTGAAACCCTTTAGCCACTAATCTTGCCTTGTGTTTTTGAAGTGAACTATCTGCATTAAGTTTTGTCCTGAAAACCTATTTACAATCTACAAGGTTCTTCTGGCCAATATCAGGTAATAACGCCTATGTCTTGTTCAAAGAAGAGCATCATATTCACTTTGCATTGCCTTTTTCTAGCTTTTTGACTGAAATGCCTCTGCAATTGATCTAGGTTCACATAGTTCAGATTTAATATATAATCTTAATATATAATATAATATATAATCTCGATCGTTGATCATCACAGAAATGACTTGGAATCTTTGTCCTTGTGTACCTAGCTTTATGGCTATTTATGTGGAAAAGTTTTAAGTCTTTTACTCTTGGAACCTAACATTTATTGATATTAGGGAGAATAATATAAAGGTTTCAAAAGGATCAATTAATTTAAGCTAAGTTTTAAGTGTCAAACTTTAAAAATTTGTGATTCCATCTTTCAATTTTTTAACTGTTTTGTAATGAATTTTCAACTTGTTTTTCAATTTTTAACAATTTTTTATTCTTTAATCATATTAAAATTTGAACAATAAGTTATAAATTCATCATAACGCAATTGCTGAGTTGAGAAATTGAGTTGTAAATTTTTAAAATTTAATATTTGAGACCTTAATTTGAATTACAAGGACCTCTTTGTCATTCTCCCTTGATATTATTAACTATCATGCAACAAATTCAAGACAATATATAATAAAATACGAATGATTCTTTTCTTTTTTTAACCGGAATAAAATACGAATGATTCTAAATTATTACTTTTTTTACCCAGAAAAAAAACATATATTATTTGCATGAGAAGCTTATAATTGCCGCAGTTTTTCATTAGTTTTTAAATTTGATTCATGTGAAAATCATATGGATCGATTAGATTACACGCGTTTGATAATAGCTAAAACTTACTTAATTAGGGAGACAAATTAATTTGGTAACTTAACTAATGTAAAGACATCCATCAATTAAAGTATTAACTTATTATTCTCATCATCATAGAAAAAGAATCTTGAGCGTATTTTAAAACTTAAGAGGGCATAAACAATGGGATTAAGACATCGGGATATTTTTTCTCTGGTGCGGTTTTCTCACTCTTTACCTTTTATTTTCTTTGCTTGTGAATAATTAATAATTTCACATTTCAGCCAGTTGATTCAAACATAACGTAAATTATTCGAAACTATCACAATTTATTGTTATCTGTGTGGTCGAGAAGATTTGTACGTAGTTTTCTTTCCACCTATCCAGTTAAAGCGAAATAGGCCAACCTTGAATTTCTGTCCGCCTCTTTAATCTAACCAGTTTGTGGTGCTCAAAAAAGTGAGAAAAATGTATTAGCAATAAAATGCAAGCAAGACCGCTGACTGTCGAATATAATTACTCCTAATAGAAAGATATTTATGTACAAAATAATAAAAAAAAAAAACTCGAGCGAAAGCAAAACAAATTGACTTGATGACTCAAAGTCTGATCTTCTAGACGTGGGATACTCCATCGAATCCCATTTATTAGTTATATTTTAAAAGATTTATTTGATCCTATTTATAAGTCACCAGGTGACATTTTAAATAATATTTAAAAGGTATTTTAAAAATTACCCTTCGTGAGAGGGAGAAAGTAATATGATATTGCTTTATAATTTGTTATATAATAACATGCATATTTAAAATTCTATACACTTTTATTCTTTGTACTTTTTTTATATTAATATTGATGATATTAATAAAAATAATTTATAAAAAAGATTAGAGGAGTATCAATTAAGTTCTCTTAGATAGAGCTGTGCAAACGGGTTGTGGCTAACCCACGAGCTAGCTCGCATGGGTTAGCGCATTAGCGGGTTAGGTTGGGCTAGCCCGTCAGGATAAACGGGTAAAAAAACCCAACCCAACCCGTACATTGACGGGCTAGTGAGCCTGTGGGCCAACCCGTAAAATATGATTTTTTTTTAAAATTATTATCAACATATCATACATATAAATAATGATTTTTCTCATATTATTTTTTAAAATAAAATTTGAATATAAATCTAAATTATTTTTATCAATGAATTTATATTTGTAATTTTAATTAATAGATCTTATGAGATTAATAAATAATATACATTTAAAATATTTCTATAAAAACTAATAAATAATTGATTCACAAACTATAATAAAAATTTCATTTGCAAATTTTAAGAAATATTTACATTATCTTTCAAATGTAAAGAACATGATTGGGACTCATAAATTATAAATTTAAAAAATATAGCCATTATTATAGATTTATAAAAAGATATATTATGATTGAAAAAATAAATTATTTTTTTAAAAAATAGGCTAATCCATTGGTCAACTCGTTTAGCCCACAGGTTAACCCGTTTTAACTTGTCATTTTTGTGGATTGGGCGTTTTAAAAAATGAGTTAATTTTTTTAACCCAATCTATCAACATTTATGAGTTGAATGAATTAGCCCGTGTGGTCAACTTGTTTTTTGGACTTTAATCTCAGGCTTGGAAAATGCTCGCACGTGCCAGAGCTCATGGTCGGTGCCAAATAATATATCGCACTCTGGGCCCAAATAAGAGTTTGAACGGCATGCAACGTGTAGTCCAAAATAATTCTATTATCTCAGCCTTAATAATCCTATGATTTATTCTCTGGGCTCGTTTAAGATTGAGTTATTCAACAAGATTATGTTACAATTTGTTTAATTACAACTGTTTAATCCTTCTGTTGTCTTTTATATTAAAAATAAAAAAATTGTGTAGGGTTAAAATAAAAGATTTTTAAAATTTATTTAAAATCAATAGAAAGTAGTAAAAAAATAGCATTTTATTTTCACATATAAAATTACAACATTAATAATATACTGTACAAATTTAATTACATGATTTTTACAGTTGAATGGAACCTGGGTATTTTAACTAATACTTTCTCTGTTAAAAACGTAAAGCATTTTTTAAGGAGTTGAATATTAAAAAATGTAAGGTATTTTTAATCTTTCGAGATGTAATCATTGCCTTTTTTCAAAAGTGTCCCTATTAATGAATGTTTTATATTTATTATAGGATATTTAATAAGAGTAAATATGAAAAGACAGGGTTAATTTAAAAACAGGTAACTACTTTATTGGGAGGTAAAATTCAGTTAAAAATACTTATATTTTTTAATAAAAGAAGTATCCTGGAGTAAAGCAAATGACCAATAATTTCCATTCCTAGTCAACCAATATATTGTAATTTATTTTCATTAAATTTGTAATTATTAATTTCCAATCAAACTTAATGTGGGGGAAATTGCCGTCACTAAAGAGAAAAATTCAAGATGATACAATGTCAATCATTATGAGTTTTTTCTTAAAGTAAAATTAATTTGCAAGTCCTTTTAATTTTTTAAATTTAAATTAGTTTTCTGTATTTTATTTTATTTTAATCAAGTCTTTATAGTTTTATCAAATAAATATATTAATCCTTGGATGTTAAAATTATTAATGAATGATTAAATTTTTCAAATTTAAAAAGTTTAAAATTTATAAAAAAATTGATTTAATATTTTGACTAAAAAAATTTGATTTAATACAATGTTAACATTTTTATTAATTTTTTTAAAAAAATTCTATGTGTATAAAAAATTTACAAGGTATAACATAATTATAAAAACTGGTAAAAAACATAGTTATAAAAATTTTGAATTATAAAAAATTATGTAATTAATTTTAAAGTTATAAAAAAATTTGATTTAATACAATGTTAACATTTTTATTAATTTTTGAAAAAATTCTATATGTATAAAAAATTTACAATGTATAACATAGTTATAAAAACTGGTAAAAAAACATAGTTATAAAAATTAGTTATAAAAATTATGTAATTAATTTTACAGTTATGTAATTTTTAATAAAAATATAAATTTTCTTAATTTTATTT